AAATCGCAGTCCCTTGTCAGTCGTCTTTAATAAAATTGTATAAAAGAGGGATTACTGCCAAAATGCACATATGGGTGGGGGATGTTCAGACTTAGAAATCTAACTTCTTGTCACCATGTAGTGCATGTTTGGCTGTGAAGCATGTACCTGTTATATCATGATGGGATTAGTATGTTTTATCCCTATATCATTTTGTTAGCGTGCTGGTCGCTCAAATAGTAGTAGTAGTATAAGTAGTAGTAATAAAAAATAAATAAAAAGAAGAAGGTTAGTTTGCAGTAAAAAATAATTCCTCTAATTGCTAATCATTACGTTAGCTTATCTCCCGTAGATTAATCCGGGCCAAATATACAGTTGGAATTGCATTAACTTTTACACCGGTTCCGTTTCGGGGCGCTTTTGTCTAAAAATAAAAAACAAAAAGACGTAAAAATAAATCTCATCGACTGATTTTTATTTGGGTTGAAATTTTGGTCTGTCTTCCTCGATCTTCCTTACTTTGTAAGTACAAAAGATTCTTCTTTTGTGTCCTGATGACGTGGAAAATTAAATTTAAAAAAAAAACAGTGAGAAATTTAAATAAAATGAATGAATATTGATTTGTTTGAATATCCTATCTTGAAAAATGTGGTTTGTACTCTTATGTTTAGCGTTTCAAACGATTTTTCTGCACACCAAACATTGATTTATTTACATGTCTTATATTCACCATAGTTTGTTTGTTTTTTTTAACTCTATCTGAGGTTTCCTTTAGGTTTTGTTGAATTTGAGGTCGCACATCCGAAATAAGATGAAATTTGCGACCAATTAGTCTGAAAATATGTAAATGAGAAAAAAGTATACAAAAATCGTTTGAAACGCTAAACTTAGCAATATTCCATTTTCCTTCACGAAAATTAAAATTTACTTCTTACTAATGGAAAAATAAAAAATAGTTTCGGGGCGATATTTTTCATAACCATTTCTGATGTAAGGGAGATAAATCTGTGTTTAGTATGCAGAAAACGTTTGAAACGCTAAATTTAACAATACCCACATTTTGTTTTAATTTTATTTTCAGATGATAGACGTTGTGAAATTACAAAAAAATATGGAAAAGTTCATTTTCATAATTTCTCTCTAAAATGTTTTTCATGAATCTGATATGGTACAGAAAATTAAATTTATTTTCTACATGTTCATCTCTGGTGCAATTTGAAGTTGTCAGCAAAATGAAACATTTATTTAACCAACTGCATTCCTACATAGATATGAAGAAAGTGAAATAGAAAAGAATAGGCCAATACATACATATATATATAGTGACAAATTTTATATTTGTATTAATCCTATATATATATATATAGATAGATAGATAAAAGGATAGATAGATGTGAATAAAATTAAATAGAAATAAATGTACTGAGATAAATATGAATATGTACTATACACATAAAGAAAGAAGCATATACACGGTGTGTAATCTTCTTTCAATGTCAGACTGTGGAGTAATTGGCTATGGTTAAGTGTAATTGACAAAATCCTCAATAAAGCAGAATTGCCAAAGTTCTCAATAAACAATAAGAAAAGAAAAAAAGAAGCAAGCAAAATAATACTAAGCAAACAATATTTTTGTATATGCAAGTCAAAATATGGTAAAAAACTCACAAAGTAAAAATTGCGTTCACATGCAAAAGGGATACAGTTAAGTGGTTCTAGAATTCTGACTTCAAGACAAGAAAGAACAAAAATATGGTGGATGAAACCAAGAAATGTCCATTTTTATTGGTTAGGAAGAAATCACAGAATGTAGGATTTGTTGATAAATTTGTAGAGAGGATGTTCTTAGCTGTCATTCCTTGACAATTGGTGCCAACACAGACCTCATATCTTTTTTGCATAACTAACAAAAATTGTTACAGTTTGGCTGTTAACTCCTACTACACCTGCCATATTCACCTGATCTTCCATTCTTGGATTAATCCTTGTTTCAATCCCTACAAAATTTTCTTAATAGGAAAAATTTTAATTCTCTGGGAGCCTGTAAAAATCTCTTAGACATGTTCATTACCAAAAATTCTAGGAGAATAGAATCATAAAGCTGCCTTAAAGATGACAAATGATAGTGGAATAAAATGGCATATATGTGGTTAAATCTATGTACAATTATCTAAATATTATCTTTGAAATTCACATAAAAAATACAACAAACTTTTGCTCCAACCTAATATTTGCTTACTATTCAGATCAGCATGTTCATTTTGATTGTTATACTCACAACATTTCAGCCATTGTATTGTCTAAACTTCTTCAGATGTCTCTCTTCTAAAAATCACATGACCTAGTGGATGACAATATTGGTTAAAACATATCTGGTTCTTATCAGGAGTTTCCTTCTCAATTCGATTTTATGATTTTATTTCTATTTCTCAATTTGGACTTGATATAACTGTAAGTTCTATGCTAACAGTATCTCTCACACTTCTTACTTGTGGTCTCTCTTCTGGCTTTTTGCTTTACAATCTACTTTGATCTTTAACAATTTAAATGTGGTATTAATCATAACTTCTGTCTTCTTAATTCCTCTTCTTTTATTGTTTTCTCTCTTTAATAATACTTTTCTTTTTCTCATATTCTCTCACACTCAGTAACCTCTTGCTTCTTAGTGGCTTTATTGCCTTGCTTGGGGTGAAATGATTAAAAACAAAATTCATTGACTTATCTCTTCTTCAACTAGCAACTTTGTTTTATAAATTAGATTTAACCAAGTTTATTTGCTGAAATTTTATTATTCACATTATGTACATTCAGATTAATATCCTGATTTTTGCTGTTATTAGAATGTTTCAACTATTGTAACCTCAGGCCTTCTTCAGGTGTCTTTTAATCTTGGTAGGCTTCCTGAACCTATTATTTCACAAATTACAAGAATAATTTACATTATAAAAACAAATACAATGTAATATTTATCATTCACTGATTTATAAAGAAATAAATGTGAAAACTATTTTTTATTCATAAATTTATAAACATTTACTATATTATTAAAATACATGAACTATATCCATGAATCCTTATTATTTATCATTTTATAAAGTTTCAATTGACAATTAGCCAATGTTTTGGCAATCATTCCAATAAATAATATAATAAATAGTGTAAATAAACAATATAATAAATAAAATGTTTATTACTTTTGTAGTCAATTCTCATGAACAAAAAAAATGTATAAATTCACTTTCATCATATGTTTAGGTTTTATTACAATTCTAATCATCACTTTTTAAAACATTGCTGAAAAATTGCTGATATTCAATTAAAAAAAAAAAAAAGATGCCAATATAACACAATAGGTCCTTGTCTGATTGGATTAGAACACCTACAAATCAAGTGGTTTCAAAAAGATTTTATCTGTGCCTGAAGTGTTTGTAGTTTTATGACTACCAGTAAAGTCTAAATGTGAGGATTTCAATAACTCACTTTCCACAAGTAGAGAAAAAAGAAATAAAGTAAATGAATAAAAAAATGTATGTGAGTTCAATGCCTAGGTCGGTTGGTACAAAGTCATAGTTCAGTTTGAAATTCTGTAATGGCTATTTAAATAACACACACACACACAAAGGTCAGAGGGCATAATGTCCAAAATATTGTGAGAGTAACAACAAAGATGAGGATATTCATCGACATGTAAATAATGATAAAATTTCCATCCCAGAAATTCAGAAGCTGAAATTTTATTCTACTCCACTTTACAAAATTATTTTCCTTCTTTCAGGTTTCCAAAAGGTAGCAGCCTCTTCTGGTCATGACGGACATTGTAGATGCTTCGAACTAAATTCTATTCTTTGATCTACTCTTCTTTTAGTGGGTAAACATTTCTTTTTTATCTTAATGGAGGCCCAAGGTCAAAACTGTATTTTCCTTCCACTTCCTCATACAGTTCAGAGGCAAAGTATATTCAACTGCATTTCAACTCCACCTTAAATTTTTCCAAAATGTTGCAAAGTTCAATAGAAGCACTTATCGAAAATTAAAGGAAAAAAAAAATTACCAGGAGAATGAAAGCAATTTTAATTTTTATTGCTCACGAGAAGGCAATTTTAATTTTTATTGCTCACGAGTTATTTCCCTTGACTTAATTATTTTTATGTTTTTGATTTTATATCAACACCATTGAATCCCTCGAAACTCATCTGACAGAAAAAATATATACAATGGATTGTTCAGATGAATCAACGCTCAAATTGTATACAGATCATATTGATCATAGGAATTCTTGTAATAAACCATTTTCTACCAATGTATCCACTTTCAATAATGATGTCACTGAAAAGAGTAACGGAGCTCCTGAAAAGAGACAAAAAGGAAAGCAATTTTGCATAGAGCAAGATTTTTATGGACAAAACGAGAACGAAGCTTCAAAAGGAAAAATCTCAGTTTCATTCTCAGAAGCCAGTTTTCCACTTAGCCCAGCCAACTCAATAGAGAGGTTACCAAAAGCTTTAGAAGAAAGCTCGCCAAAAAAAGATCTTCTGGACAATAAACCAACTCCAATGCTAACTTGCGACATTTGTAAAAAACAATTCACGGAGAATAACCAACTCACAGAGCATCTTTTTGGTCACATTAGTTCAACATCATCTTTTCAGCCATATGACTTTGATTCTGGAATCAAGAAAGGTTCAGAATCACCACTAAATGTTTCTTGTTCATCCCTTAAAGAAGATGGGGAGATAGATAGTGAGAATGAAGAACAAGAAAATGAAGAAATCAATTCCTTTTCAACAGAACAGAAGCCAATGCCATTATTAACATCCCAGTCTCCAGCCCATCAAGCTTATGAAAAACAAAACAGTGCATCAGATATGTTCAGTACATCATTGCCATCACCCCCACCAGCATCATCATCTTCACCTCTTTCTGTATCCCCTATTCCTACAGTAAAGCAAGAAACATCACCTACAATGGCCTCAGAAAATGTCACGAGTTATGAAACAAAGACAAAAACTATGAAATCAAATATGTCCAGTTCAAAGTCCGTTCAGCGCAGCAAATGTAAAAAAGAACTCAAGTGTGATATCTGCCAACGGATGTTTACCCGCACTTTTGCTCTGAAACGACACTTGAGGATACACACGGGTGAAAAGCCATTCACTTGCAATGTGTGTCACAAATCTTTCTTCCAGTCATCCGACCTAACACAGCACCTGCGTGTGCACACTGGTGAGCGTCCATTCAAATGCAGTTTATGCACGGCTGCATTCTCTCAACTGTCAGCCCTCTCACGGCACCTACGGTGTCACTTTGGAGAGAAGCCGTACATCTGCACAGTGTGTCAACGCGCCTTCTCCCAGTCATCAGCACTGACCCGGCACATGTGCTCACACTCTGAAGTAAAACACGGCAATGGAGATATAAATAAGGGAGTTGTTGGGGAGCAAAAAGAATGCAAAGAAATCAATTCCCCTTCAATAGAACAAAAGCCAGTAGCATTTCTAATGCCCCAGTCTGCAGACCCTAAACTTCAGGAAAAACAAAACAACACTTCAGAGACATTCAGTTTATCATGTCTATCAAAACCACCAATGCCACCATCATCATCATTATCATCATCTTCACTAATGTTAGAACCTTCTCTTTCTGTATCAGTGAATCCTCCAGTTAAGCAAGAAACATCACCTACAGTAACCTCAGAAAATGATGAAACCTACAAAACTGGGGCAGAAAAAATGAAAACAAACATGTCCCATTCAAAATCTGTACGATCCAACAAAGGTGAGAAAGAAATAAAATGTGACATCTGTCAGCGAGTGTTTACCCGCGCTTTTGCTTTGAAACGACACCTGCGGATACACTCAGGCGAGAGGCCATTCACATGTAATGTGTGTCACAAATCTTTCTTCCAGTCATCTGACCTAACGCAGCACCTGCGTGTGCACACTGGTGAGCGTCCATTCAAATGCAGTTTATGCACGGCTGCATTCTCTCAACTCTCCGCACTCTCACGGCACCTACGGTGTCACTTTGGCGAGAAGCCGTACGTCTGCTCCGTGTGCCAACGTGCCTTCTCTCAGTCATCAGCACTGACCCGGCACATGTGCTTACATGCTGAAGAAAAACTGTACAGCTGCGAGATCTGCGGCGAGTCATTCACATGGTCTGAGCCACTTTTGCGGCATATGTGGACACATACTGGCGAGAAACCCCACAAATGTGAGATTTGTTCCAAGACATTCTCACGAGCTTCTAACCTGTCCACTCATATGCGGGTGCATTCTGGTGAGAAGCCATTCATATGTCCCTTGTGCAGTAGAGCATTTCCAGTTTCATCCAATCTCACCAGACACATGAAGACCCATAAGGAGTCAGTCAATGAACAAACCTCTGTAGCTCCTACAACCCCTACAATATTAACGTTTGATTCTCTAACTGAACCTACTGTTTGAATCAATATTTGAGCCTCAATTTCCCTTCTGATGGTTCAGTTCAACTCCAGCATCTGAGTTAGCATTAAATCATTAGTAGATCTTCTATGCACCATGCATCATTCCAATGCAGTGTTTCCCAAACTTTTTTCACTGGTCTGATTTTCAGAATAAAAACTTGCTTATGCCTCACCAAATTTTATGTGATAAAAAGTACATTTAAAATAAAAAAAAATAGTGAGTTAAAGAGATAACAGTGGATTTGAAGTCAGATCATTATCATTGATAACTCTCTCCTCCAATTTGCAGAGCCTAGTTACTATATGATAAATTGGTTAATAATTATTTATACTGGGACTCCTTTTAAATTATATTTATTTTTGACATGAATTTTTTGAAACTGTTTCTAAATTTTTGATTGTCTTTCAATCATTCCATCTCACCTGCTCTCCTCTTCACCACACTGGGAACCACTAATGAAATGTGGCCTCTTCAAAAGTTGTCTGAATCACTTCTCTTTATAATCATTTTGAGTTGATGATTAATTGACTCTCTTATTGATCCATGATTTAAAGCCTGATCATATATATCTATATATATATATATATACAGTTACGTGTCTATATTTCTGCAATGAGGTAATGCAATTTCTGAGAGGAAACTGTTGTCCTCATCTTTGTTGCCATATTCACGACATTTCAGTCATTGAACACTCCTTCTTCTTTTGGAATTTCAAACTGAACCCATTACTTTGTTCTTGTTCCATGTGCCATGCCTCTTCTGGATGTCTCAGTTATCTCCCTTTAACCCTAACCATTTAACACAACTCTCCAATTTTTTGTTTCACCACTGCAGTAGCTAGGTATTGAAATCCCAACCCATTGGTCATGTCATTGGATCCAACCAACACTTTTATCCACTGGGCCATGTGTCTTTGAGAACATTAGTGTATGAAATTTTGACTTATAAACTCAGGCTAGGGCTACAAAAATCTCCTAAGCCAGCCAATATTTTCTAGCTTTAAATAACCTGCAAGAGGTTGATAAGCTATAAAAAACAAATCAATCAATCAATCCCCAGTTTTATTCTCGCTCAATTTCAGTAACCATTTTTTACCAGAACTTCTTTGATTATTTCTATAAAGTGGACGGAATTTCCAATTAATACCTCCCATAGAGGTGAGCATGACTAAGGACAGTGTGTATGCCACCCTATGCAGCTGTGGTAAGAAATGTAAAGGAGAAACAGGCCGCCCCCTTGAGGTAAGACTGCAAGAGCATTGTAAAGTCGTAACATGAGGGAAATAGAAAAATCAGGTGTAGCTGACCACATATGGAGGGAAAGGAAAATCAATGTCACCCCCACCAAACCACCCACCAATGTGAGATGAGCTTGAAATAATAGAGAACATCACTGGAAAATACATAAACTTAAGGAATCAGTGCATGCTAGGGCTACAAAAATCTCCTGAGCCAGCCAAGCAGAGAAATGAATACAATATGGGAACCAGTAAGAAGATGTGCTAGAGAAAAGTAATAACAACCAAAAAAATTGCAATATGAGCTCTGGTAAAAATAGTTACTGAGACATTAAGTCCCCAAAATTCATCCACTGATGTCTTCAAGGACACATGGCTCAGTGGATAAAAGTATTGGTTGGATCTAGAGATTTGACTCAAAGCGTTGTGAGTTCAAGCTACAAAATCTTGGTGTGTTGAGTTAAAGGGAGATAACTGAGACATTCAGACGAGGGATGGCATGTGGAACTAGAACAATCTACCCCAATGGACAAAATAAAGGGTTCAGTTCAAAATTCCAATCACTTGAAGAAGGCCAGAGTGTACAACGGCCAGATTGTTGTTAATATGGCAACAAAGTTGAGGACAACAGTCTGAACAATGTAAATAGTGTAAATAATTGCATATTTATTATTTGATCCTCAGCAAAGATCCAGAATTTGAATTCATTTAATTTTATATGCACTTCATTTAGCTTTAATTCTAACCATCAGATATAGGTTTCATTGTTTTTTAGTTAGTTGAACAACAACAAAGACGAGGACAATAGTATGAATATAAATAGTGTAAATAAGGATAACTCCTCATCCCAGAAATTCAGACAGAAATGATTTGAACTCTGACATTAGTGTTTAAATCTGTGTAGAATTTCAAATTTGATTCTTATCCACTCTTTGATCTTCAATTTACGACTGGTGGCTCAGTCCAAATATAAAATAATGAATATGTCATTCACATTTAATTCAGATTAATTACATAGTCCTCAGTTGGCTTACTGCCATATCATGTTGAAACACCAGTTCTTGTATGATCACTGAAGTTAAGCAATGTAAATCCTGCTCAGTACCTAGATGGGTGACTGCTTGGGAATACCAGGTGCAGTCTGCTTGGATGTGCAAGTGGTGTAATGGATAACAACTCAGAATTGGAAATCAGAGAGACAGGTTCTAATTCCAGTCAGGTTCATTAGATTCACTTATGAGTAAATACTCTTGAGAAAAGTATAAATCTGCCTCTTCTCCCCGCCAGCTAGGGGTTAATTAGTAGGTCTTGTATCAGTTAATCATTATTATCTCAAAAAAATTCTTACAATCTAAAAATATTTTCTAGCTTTAAATAACCTGCAAGAGGTTGATAAGCTATAAAAAACAAATCAATCAATCAATCCCCAGTTTTATTCTCACTCAGATTCAGGTGTCATGAGTTTTTGGGGTTTTTTTGGGGGTGGGAGGATGCTATTTTTAAGTTTTATCCCCAAATGGTTTAGTAGCTTGATTGCTTTGCTTGGAATGAAATGATTAAAAAGAAGAAAATGGTACATTTCAGTCAGATGATAGTATTTTTTTTAAATAAGTATTAGTAAAATTTATTCAAATTAAGTTTCCAATATTTCTGCTTTTTAGGGATAGGTTGATCTATCGTCCAGTTCACACTGCTTCTCAGTCTTTGCTAATAGGCATAGAGATTTATTCCTTGTCTCCTATTTAGGATTTGGTTTCCAGTTCTTTCTAAAATCTTTTCCTTCTCTTTCACTTTCAGTCGCCCCCCACTTGCGTGTTAGTGGTGTTAAAGTTTCCAATAATTTTACTTTTTTATTCTTTTCTGTTATATTTGTTCTTATTGAGTTCAGTTGTTAATTTTTGGTTGTTTCTTTTTCCATGGAAACTGTTCAGAAGAACTGCATTCCTTAGTTCCACCAGTTCTAATCTTCATGGCCAAGACTTGGCATGCCACATACATTGTAGTGAACCACCTTCATTTCTTTCATATTCCATTGGTAAGATGTAAGTTCCACTCAAGTAGCTTCTCCCCATGAACCGCTTCTTTGTGGAACCGACTCCAAAGAAGATGCTTCCCTGATCACTACAATTTTAACCTGTTTGTGTCTAGGCCTAAACATTATCTTCCCCCCATATCTATATAAACTGAGCCTCTTAATCTGTAACTCTCTGCCTCAATGGCTCTAGGGCCTTGTACGGGGATGACATCATTGTAAAAAAAAAAAAAACTGATTTCTTCTGATTAAAATGAAAATTTTTTTTTTACACTTAAAATATTTATATTAGGTTTTGTCCAAGATGAAAACCAGCTTTAAAGGAAACAGATTTATTGTACATAAAACCATGTTCCGCCTAATAAAACACTTGTGAATTCTTTGTGAAAAGTTATTTTTAATGCTAGGAATGGTTTTCCATTCTCCTTTTCGCAGTCAAGTTCTCTGATGCACTGAGTTCCAGACCCCAACATCAGTAGGAGCAGTCTCTCGTTATCAACAATGATATTTCCACTTCATCATATTAGGCTTCAATTATGCTACTGGAATGAGCCTGTCATACTTGTTGTTGTTAATGTCTCCCCATACGACATCTCAGTCAAAATTTGGAGTCACAGCATTTTACACAAGATTTTCATGAAATTCCATCTCCAATAATTGGAGATCTTTATGCCTCTCAGATTTCTAGCTGTAGTGCAGGCTGACTTGAAAGATTGAGTAACCTGATAGAGCACCAGGGTGGGCAGTCAGTTGCAAGTGTCTCAAGTTGTCAGGGTTGGATGCCACATTGCTGGGTAGATTTCAACTGATACCTTTTCAACTGATTTTAACTAATATTTATTCTTTTGCATGTGATTCAGATGAGTGAATAATAATAATAATGTTTAAATTTTGCAGGTGTGTTGTCAGATCCTGCTTTGGCAATAGAAAATGACCATGTCTGATAATAAGTAGTCCAATAGAGGATCCTTGAGTTAAAGGGAAAATAACTTAGACACCTGGAAGAAGCATGGCACATGGAACTAGAACAATCTACCCTGGTGGATGAAATAAATGGTTCGGTTCGAAATTCTAATATGTATGTATGTATGTATGTATGTATGTATGTGTGTATGTTTTCAAGATATCATATTCATATCTCTTAATGAAAATTAAATAGCCTGTTTAGGTGTGTGTGTGTGTGTGTGTGTATATATATATATATATATATATATATATATATATATTGTGTGTGTCTGCATGTGTGTTTTCAAGATCTATTATATCACTTGGTGAAACTTACATTGCCTGTTGTTGAGGTAAATATATATATATATATATATATATATATATGTGTGTGTTTGTGTGTGTATGTTTTCAAGACATATGTCTTCAAATTTAAATTGCCTGTTGGTGAGTTTATAGACAGACACTGATGTTTGCATTCTAAACTAATTATTACCAAATGTTATTTCCAGTCAAGATATCACTACAGTTTAATTGAGGCAGGCCATATTTTATTTAAGTTCTTGTCCATCTATATCATTGACCTTTTTTCTATATATTGACAATATATTTCGGCAAACTTGGACCTTCATACCCACAAAAACAACAGAGTTTCAAAAGAACATTTTTTTTCTCATTGACACTGCTATTATTTTAACTAACTCAACGCCTTGTCAATATCTATTGTTTTAAAAAGGAATGATTAGAATTGTAATAAAATCTAAACACATGATAAAAGTGAATTTATACATTTTTTTCTTTAAAATTTACAATAAAAATATTAATCACCATCTTTTATTCTTTATTTACAAGAATAATTTTGTATTTACAACATTCTAAATACTAATAGAATTAAGCCAGTGCAATATTTATAATTTACCAATTCATGAAAAAATAAATGTGAAAACAATTTTTTATTCATAAATTTATAAACATTTATTTGATTATTAAAATATGTGAATCAACTCTAAGGGAACCCTTATTATTTACCATTTTATAAAGTTTGATTCAATTGGCAATTGACGAATGTTTTGCCAACCATTCCAATAAACAATATAATAAATAGTGTTTATTATTTTTGTTATCAATTCTCAAGAACAAAGAAAATATATAAATTCAATTTCATATGTTTAGGTTTTATTAAAATTCTAATCATAAGTAGTAGGTGTGGCATAATTAGAAAATGGAAACATTACTAGGGAGTGAGAACAAAAAAAGTGTAATCAGGAAGACAGTAGATAGTGATTGTCATTGCATTTAAATTTTTGAAGATTAAAATTGACTGGAAAGAATGCTTTTAGAAGAGAGTTCCATAAGTGAAAAGTGTGAGAAAAGAAACTGTTAGCATAGAAATTATGGCTACATCTACCCATTTCAAATATAAATTGATGAGACCTTATCACCAGTCTAGTACTGCACTTAAATTCATAAATCTAGTTACCATAACGAAGAGCTCATCAAAAGAATTACCATAGAAGTATTTATAGAAAGGGCACAGGGAGGCATCTTTATGGTGGTGGGAAAGTGAGTGAAGCCAAGATGCCAGATCAGGACCAATAATATTGTTGATTCTTTAGATTTTATCAAGGTTATCAAAATTAAATTTAAACATTGAAAACTTATACAAAACATTATTATATGGCTATTTTTCTTGTTTTGTTTGTTGTTTTTTTTTTTACATTAGAAGTGTGGTAAGTACAAAATAATAATAATATCTCCCTTTATCCACTTTCTTCAAAAAAACGAAAAAAAATTAGCAAGCTTATGTGAAATTTTCTTTGGACCTTTGTTTTCACAGGAATTAGCCATTGAAAAGAAAAGAAAATAGCGAGCATATACGAAATCCTTTTTTTATATAAAATAAGGAAAAAAAATTAAATCAATGAAAAAAATAGTCTGAAGTCATGTGAAAAGTTTGATTTCTGGCCACGTATCTAGCATTCAGATTTCTGCAAGTGTCAAATTACTCGACAATTATATTATCAGCATGAACCAAGCACTTGGCACTTCAAAGAACTTTATTTCAACAATCCAAGAAAGATAAGTATTTCAAACTATCTCAATTTGTCTACTTTTGTATGTATGATACAACCATATATTCCTTCTGTGAACAAGAAACTCTCTTTTCTTTGTCTTAAACATTTTTTAATATTTTTTTGTGTCAGATCATTTAATCTGTTGTATGAACATTTCCTCTCCATGCCAATACATTAAAACTTTGGGCTTTAAAAATTTTTGATTCATTTTTCTGAAACGAGCTACTGACACAAATTCAAGCATGTAAACTTGTAAATAAATTCCTTACCTTGTTTTGTTAAAATTGCATGTCTATTTCTTCACTATTATCAGCCTCCATTAATCTTCTTGGTATGAATGATCCAACCATTTTAATCACAAAGTCTCACACCACTAGAGAAAACAATAATGTTCATCATAAAAGGTTCAATTTAATGCCAGCTGAGAAAAGAATCTAATGTTTATGCTTCCATGACATTTGCTGTTGAGCCATTTATAGAATAATTTTTATTGAGACTTGTTAAAGTTGGCTTCAGAGTTTTTTGCTGCTACTTCCTGGATAGTGAAGATAAGTAATTGGAGAGCATTTTACCTAATTTTCGGTATTTCTTGCTTGATTCGCTTTGGTCAAGGTCAGCATTGGAGGTAACAGCTTTTTACTGTTACTACTTGGACAGACCAAATATAGTAATGGAGAGTGATTTGTCTAAGATTTTAGCTTTTTTCTATTAACCATTACGACTGCAAGTGACAAGAGATTTTATCAGACTATGTGGTAGAGTGCAAAGGGAAATGAATTCATGCCTTTTTGGGTATTTTTTTTTTTTTTTTGATGAATAAAAGGCATTACTGGGCACGTTCTGGACATTTTACCCATACTTATTAATGTAGGATAAACGTATTTTATAATCAATTTCTTTGTTTTGTTTTATTTTTTTTTTAATTAAAATCAACTGAGATACTTCAAGTTTTACATTTTAACTCAATGAGAACAAATTCTTTGGATAGGTTTGTATATATGTATACAATACATGTATATGTCTATGTACCGAAATGGTGTTCAAATGTAAATAAAAAAATTTTTTTTAAAAAAGCATTGATCTTATGTGAAT